CACAGCTCTTGTGTATCTGGGGAACTGTGCACAGCTCTCATGTATCTTAGAACTCCACATGGTTTCTCAAATACCTGATTCGCCTACACAATTATCCCAAATGCTTGAGCACTCTTTATAGTTCTCAAAATACCCAAATGCTTTGCATAGTTTCCCCAAATTCCTGAGTACCCTGAAAAGTTCCCCAAATTTCCAAGAGCTACGCACAATTCCCTAAGTACCTGAGCACCGTGCACACTTACCCCGAACACCTGAGCACTCTGCATAGTTCCTCAAAATACCCGAGTGCTCTTCACGGTCCGCAAGTGCCTGAGCACTCTGCACGGCTCCCGAAGTACCTAAATGCTCCTTACTATTTTCCGAGCACCTGAGCGCTCTGCACTATTTCTAAAATAGCTGAGAGCTCTGCCCTGTTCCCACACATGTCCCTGTACTCTTCACAGTCCCCACACACGGCACAGAGCATGTCCACTGCAGACTGTCCTGCTGCCTGAAGCTCCTGTGTAGTGTTGAGAGCTGCTCCAATGGCCGAGGATGATGGCATCTGAGCAGTCCTGCTTAGTGACAGCAAAGTGTGCCAGCAGAGCCGTAGCACAAGCAAAAGGTGTGAGGTAGAGATGAGCAGGTGAGCCCAAAGGTAGAGGGACACTCAGCCAGGGGAGAGAAGAGTTGGGCCCAGGGTTTATGAGGCCTTTAGACCTTTATAGAAGGCTCTGGTTTATTTTTAAGAGCATCCAGAATCCATGTGGGGAGTTGTTACGTACAGGTGTGGCTTTTAGCAAATGTGTAGGATGGATGTTTGGATGCTGGGGTTCAGGAATGAGAGGAAGAAGAGACCAGTAATGATGAGGTTGAACTATAGACAGGAGCATGGCTGAGATTTGCGTTTTACAGTAAGAACAAGAGAGATACCAGTCGCACATATCTGAACCTCAGGATCATGAGTAAAGCTGTGTGTTTGAGGCTCACTCATCTCAACCCAGCATGCCCTCCCTTCTTCTCTTGGTTACTAGGCACTTATCTAAGCACCCCTTCCTTGGTATACCTATCTGCTTCTCCAGTGCCTGCCAGATCATTTAGTGTGGGTGCCAGGCTTCACGTGGTGCCCTGGGTTTGGTGTCTTTCCCAGGGTCTGGCCCTCGTGTTCTTTGGGGCCTAAGATAGTCCTGACTAGTTGCTTTTGGTTAATGGGAAAATACCTTAGACTATTTGGTGTTTTGTTAGCTTTGCCAACCAGGACAGTTTTCTGAGAGCTTGTGGGAAGGAGAGGGAGGAAGAGGACTATGATGCTCTGGTATTAGGGAACACTAAAAGAGATGAATTACTTCAGCTGCACCGGGAGGGTCTTTGGTTTGTTCTAAGGATGATCATTTCTTTAAAAACAAACAAACCCAGCAAGGCGGATGTAGAGCACTTGTTTAGCATATACTTGGTCCAATCTCTAGCACTGAAACCAAAAACAAAAAGCTGGCACCTCAGCCATGAGGGAATCCTCTGAGGCCCCCAAGAATGTGATGGCCCCCTCACTCCTTGAGAGGCACGGCTGAAGCCTGCTGCTCTGAGCCTAGAGGCTTCTTTTCCTGGCACCCCAAGGGGAAAACTTTCTCAGCCAAGTCCCATCCCCAGAGGTGACAGCTGTCCTGTGCTTTACATCTCACTCCAAACCCACCTTGTTTGCCCTCTGCTGCAGAATGCTAGATCTACCAGGGCAGGATGGTCGTTCTGTCTGCTTGTGTCTGACTGGAGCCTGGCGTATGCTGCGGGCTCCATAAGGCTTGGCAATTATGTGGAAGGCTTGGGTGGAGTCAGTGGCCATCTGTCTTCACACAGAGGCAAGGACACACCAACCTTGCCAATCTGACTATGTGGTACCCACCAGCATCCCAGATGAAGAGGGCCTTGCATGGAAACCCACCCCAAGACAAGGAGATTAAGGACAGGTAACTATGGATGCCCAAGCAGCATATGGCAGACTCAGAAGGGAGTCCGGAGGACCAGAGGTTCTGTATAGGTCTGTGGAAACGCCGCATTTCCACATGCCAGCTCTCTATCCTTGCATAGGTTTTGGTGTCCTCTGTCAGCCCTACTGGGGTATTTGCACCTGCTTAGGCACAATCTACTTAAGAACATTTGCCTAATGTCCAGAGTCACACAGGGAGTGAAGGAACCAGGGACAGCTGGAAATCATATTGGTAGTGGCCTCAGCTGGACCCAGCCCTGGGCACACATGTGACTCCACCCAGGTGTGGACTTGTCCTTCAGACTTGCCCTTCACTTCAGACTTGCCCTTCTCGGTGATTTTTGTTAGGCCTGAGCCAACATCAGCTGGATGTACTTGGGCAGCCTGGAGGAAAAGCCTTGCTGCATGACTGGTGAGGACTTCTTCCTGCCTGGCCCCACCCAGAGGTGAGTCAGCCCAGGTTGAGCAATGATAAGTGGCAGTCAATCCAACTGCCCCTCGCAGCTGCTGGCAGAGTGAGGGGCTCCAGGAATACGGACTAGAGTACAAGCCTCCATAGAAGCTTACTGTCACGCATGCGTGGGCATGACGTTCACCAATACACACAGTAAAGACAACCTGTGTCTTGTGTGTCCATTTCAGGCCTGAGCTACGCACCAAGCCATTTTGTCCTCGCTGACTTTCTGGCTAGGAAGCAGTGGCATCACTTTCTTTATGCAGAGAAGAAACCAAAGCTAGAGTAACGTGTCCACACACATAGTGTCAGCTGACAGGAGCTAGGAGTCCCCATTAGCTTGGCTGTCGCATGACATCCTAGTTCTTAAGCATACCCAGAAACTCACACAGTCATAATGGACACTGAGCAGAAGGACAGAGGCATTTGGGTCATGCTCCCAAGAGCTGGGTCTTACTCAGTGACCTTGGTTGAGTCACTTGGTTGCACTGGGCTTCATTTTCATCTCTGTAAAAGCAGGGATGGTGGCACATATCCATGCTAGCCCCACAGGCTATAATTGGAAGGGAGTAAAGCCAAGTCCTGCCTGGAACTGTCAGGTGTCAGGCTCCACACCTTTGGTGTGTTTGCCCTACAGGTCTGTTCTGCATTGTACATGCTCATCTCCCCACACCATTAGAAGCTCCTGTCATATAAGAGACAATGGCAGAAATGATTTGTCCCTCCATACTTCTCAACCAGGATTTGCTCCAAAGAGTCTTTATAAGACCAGTCATGGTATCGTATGCCTTATACACAGCACTAGCAAGGCAGAGACCTCTGTGAGTTCAAGGCTAGCCTGGTCTACATAAAATTCGAGACTATCCAGAACTACATAGTCTGTAAGTTTGAAGCCAGTCTTGGTCTCAAAATATTTTTTTCCTCCCGGGGTGTGGTTCTGTGGTAGAAACCAGTCTGTGAGAGGCTGTACAAAGGAAGAAAAGCAAGAAAAGTCAGTCCAACCACAGGGAGGAAGCTCAGCCCAGACACCAGAACACCATTAATAGACAGGTTAGGGCTGCAAGAAAGAGGAATGTCTGAGACTCCGTGCCTGCCACCATAGCCACTTCGGGGAGTTGGGTGATGGATGTGTTCTGTCTCCATCACGTGGTCAGTGTGTATATGAGCACTGCACTTCAAGCATAGACCTTTGTGAGACCAGACACCATTTTAAAATGGGGAAGTCTTGGAAAAAACACAGGTGTGAGTGAAAAAGGCAAGTGTGAGTGAGAAAGGCAGGTGTGAGGGAGAAAGAAAGGTGTGAATGGGAATGGCAGGTGTGAATGGGAATGGCAGGTGTGAGTGGGAATGGCAGGTGTGAGGGGGAATGGCAGGTGTGAGGGGGAATGGC